GACTGGAAGGCTCCGCGGCTGCTGGGGCCACATGCTGCGCGAGGCGTGGCGGTGGCAGATGCGCGGGGAGGCGATCGCCTCGGACAGGCACGAGAGGACCGCGGTCAGGGCCGCGGGATGGGGGCTGCCGAGCTACGATGAGAAGCGCATCAAGGCCGTGCAGACCCTCTGTCAGGAAGGCAGGCAGCAGCTGCGAGTGATGACGGGAGCGGTGGTCTCCCCGCTGGCAGCTTCGTCATGTCCACCTACGGCGACGCCTCCCGACGCTGCCCGTGGTCCGGCTGCCGGCTGCGAAAAGGGGAGACGTTGACCATGTGGTGTGGGTCTGCGGCGGAGTCGAGGTGAGGCCGATCCCTCGCCCAGCGGACCCGCTCCAGCGGCGGCTCTTCTGGCCCACCGGCCGCAAGGAAAGGCAGGTCGCCGACGCCCTGATTCTCCAGTGGGGCGTCGAGATCGACAAGCACATCAAGAATTGGAGATACCATGTCGACGGCGCCCTCGTGAAGGTCGGCGTCACACCGGGGTGCGAGGAGGAGGAGGAGGAGGAGGAGGAGGAGGAGGAGGAGGAGGAGGAGGAGGAGGAGGAGGAGGAGGGGGAAGAGGAGGAGGAGGAGGAGGAGGTCCCGTTCGTCATCGAGGACCACGGCCGCCTGGGGGAAGACGCGGTGGCGCTGCTCCGGCGGCTGGCACCGACGGAGGCGACAGAGCGCTCGGCCGCGATCCGGCGCCTCCACCAGGCCTTGGGGAGCGTGCTGCAGCGGCACGCCGCCGACGCCATGCTGGCGGCCACCCAGCACAGGCCTTGGCGCGAGGCCGGACGGGGCTGAAGGCCTGAGCGCCCGGTGGTGCACGAGGAGGCGGCGGCGGCGGCTCTGGGCGGAGCTGGCGACCTCGGGCGCCCGGCGGGCGGCAGCGGCGGCGGCGGCGGCGGGCGCGGCGCGCTGGGCGGCAGGGCGGGGCCGGCGCTCCGGCAGGCGCGCGGCGGCGGCGGCTTCCTGGGGCGGGGGCTGCAGGCGCGGCGGCGGCGCCCGGTGGCGCGGCGCGGCGCCCGCCGGCGGCGGCTCGGCGGCGGCGCGGCGCGCGGCCGGCACCGGCGGCGACCCGCGCGCCGCCGGCGGCCGCGACGGCGCCTGGCGGCGCCAGGCGGCCCCCGACGGCGGCGCGCGACGGCGGCGGCGCGCCCGGCGACGGCGGCGCCGGCGCCCGGCGGCAGCTGCGGCGGCCCGCGGCGGCGCGCGGCGGGGCGCGGGGGCCGCGCGTGCCGCGCTCGCCGAAAGGCCCCGGGGCTCCCCGCGGACTCGGGAGCCCCGGGGCCACCGCCGCCAGAGGAGGAAGAGGAGGAGGAAGAGGAGGAGGAGGAGGAGGAGGAGGAGGAGGAGGAGGAGGAGGAGGAGAAGGAGCAGGAGGCCAGCCAGCCCGGGCGCCACCTCCGCCCTCAGCAGCACCCGTCTGCCTAGGCGGCTTCCCGTGCGTGGTCATCCAGGCGGCCCCGTACGGCATCCTCAACCTTTGACCCCAAGATCGCCCAAGAGGCTTCCAAGACGGCACCAAGACGGCCCAGAGAAGCCCCCAGACTGCTTCCGAAGGCTCCAGACGGGCCGAGACCCCCTAAGACGGCCCAAAAGGCCCCATGAGACCCCCCAGATGCCCCAAGAGGCTCCAAGAGACCTCCAAGGAGGCGAAAAGTACGGATGGCCCATAAGGGTTTGAAGGATTTTGAGGTTTTCACCTGGTTGGATGTCCGACCGCCAGAGACGCCCCAATAGCTCCCCAGGCAGCTCCAAGACAGCCCATGAGGCCCCCAAAGAGGGCCCCAAGTTGGCCCAAGAAGACCCAAGATCCTATGGGGCCACGAGACGCTGTCCTGGATGAGGGAGACGCATGCGAGTTCCACCACTGGGACTTTCGGTGGAGCTCCCTATGGGGCCACGAAGCGCAGTACTGGGCGGGGGAGCCGCATGCGAGTTCCACCAAGAGGCCCCCAGCAGGCCCCCAGGAGGCCCCCAGAGAGCCTTTAGAGGCGTTTTCCTCATCGTCCTCGTTGTCTCTCCCTCTCTCACTCTCTCTCTCTCGCTCTCTCGCTCGCTCTCTCTCTCTCTCTCTCTCTCTCCTTTTCCTGCTCCTCCTCCTTCCTCCTCCTCTCCTCCTCCCTCCTCCCCTCCCTCCTCCCTCCTCCTCCTCATCATCATCATCCTCCTCCTGCTCCTCCTCCTCCTCCTCCTCCTCCTCCTCCTCCTCCTCCTCCTCCTCCTCCTCCTCCTCCTCCTCCTCCCTAACGCGCGGACGAAAGTAAGGTCGAGTTCACGACGCGACACAGTTCGGACCGTTCGCTGAACTGCAGCGGGTCGTGAACTCGGCCTCCTGCCCAACGCGCGAACGAAAACGAGGTCAAGTTCACGAATCGTCCCAATTCAGGCCAGTTGTCGGAATTGCGATGCTCTCACTGCGCTGTTGCACGGACACGGTGGCGGGGTTTGCCGCAGGCAGTTGCATAAAAAACACGCTCTGGAATAGGCGCAGCAATGACGTACTGCCTTGCATAGTTAGCGTCCGACACAGCAAAGACTGCCTGATCATGCGAGCGTCCTGACGCTGGCGACTGTCCCCTGGACGCAGCACCGCAGGCATCATCGGTCGAAGAACCGCTGTTACTGGCAGCACTGTTGGCCAACGTCGGATCACCCCTACAAGCCTCCATGTCTCGGTGTTTTTGCCGCATTTCTTCGAGCTCATACCGAAGGGCCTCGTTAGCCGCTTCCACCCCTTCCAGCTGGTCAACTCTGTCTTGAAGACGTTTGAGTTCTTCGATGACGCTGGCGTGCAATGCTTGCTGCTCCATGGACCCTCCTGACAATAAGCTCTGTTGAAATTCAGGCCTATGCCGAATGTATGTCTCTATGGCCTTCTGCAGAGCAACGAGCGGCATCAGAAACATCGACTCCAATTGGAGACCCGTGGCAGGTGAAGTGACTGGCAGCTTCCTCTGGCGGCGAAGCTGGAACCACTGCAAAATCTCACTTCTTTCATAAGTGCATCCGTCCACAGTTGCAACAGGGTCAGTCATCACACTGGTGGAAATCGGGCAGATGAAACTGCTCGGAATATGCCGAAGCTGTGGCTCTTGAGTCTCATCGCCATTTGCAACTTCCAGAGAAAAACACCGCGCAATCCCTGCTCCCAAACGCTGTCCATACGACGCATGATCTGTCGGAAAAGCTGCCGCGGCCCACATCACTGTCACACGAATGGCAATACACAAAACATCATCCCCTATGGCTTGAGCCAACTGACGATTGAGTTGTCGGCGTCGCATTGGCAAAAACATGAGCGATTGCCCCACATCGGGGCCAGTCCGTAAATTACATTGGCGGAGTGTTGGCGGAAGATCCAACAGAGAACTCCCAAACCCGCGAGGTCCCTGAGGCGACAGATCGAAGCCCGGTGTAAGTCATGTCAGGTATGAAACTTTTCAACGGGACATCCCAGAAGCAGGGCACCACTCAGCCTCTCGACGTACCAGCTGGATGCTGCGCCACACAATGTGAGCAAGCGCCGTGGGAACCGAGGCAGGGGAACCCACTCCGTCCTTTGCACACGTTGACCCCCTCGCCACCCACGATCTGGGGGCTGTTTGCAGAGGCGGGCGGAGCTCCTACTATGCCCCTTCCCCTTCTGCACCTCCTCCTCCTCCCCCTCCTCCTCCTCCTCCTCCTCCTCCTCCTCCTCCTCCTCCTCCTATCACCCTATACCTATGACTCCTCCTTTTCCTCCTCGTGTCCCCCATCTCCCTCCCTACCCCACATCGCCTCCACAGGGGAATGGCTCCCTTTCTCCTGCCAAGCCGTCCCCCCTGCCCCACCGGCCCCCTCGCTGAGGCTGCAGCCGACAGTGCATCTTCGCGGGACCTGCTGGCCCCGACGGCCGTGATCCTGGGACCGAGGACGGAAGCGACAAGCGGGCCAAGGGGGGGAGAGGGCAGATCGGGCGGCAACTTTCGGGGGAGGTCATCGGGCAAGACCGTCAGGAGCTGTGGCGTCGGATCTTGAGGTCCATCAGGTCGTCATCCCCCTCATCCTCACCTCTCGCCTCCTCCTCCTCCTCCTCCTCCTCCTCATCATCCTCCTCCTCCTCCTCCTCCTCCTCCTCCTCCTCTCCTCCTCCTCCTCCTCCTCCTCCTCCTCCTCCTCCTCCTCCCTCCTCCTCCTCCTCCTCCTCCTCTCCTCCTCCTCCTCCTCATCTCATCATCATCATCATCATCATCATCATCAATCATCATCACATCATCACATCACTTCTCGTCTTCTCTTGTTCCTCTCCTCCCCTCCTCCTCCTCCTCCTCCTCCTCCTCCTCCTCCTCCTCCTCCTCCTCCTAATTACCTCCCCCCTCCCCTCCCTCCTCCCTCCCTCCCTTCCCTCCCTCCCCTCCCTCCTCCCTCCCTCCTCCTCCTCCTCCTCCTCTCCTCCTCCTCCTCCTCCTCCTCCTCCTCCTCCTCCTCCTCCTCCTCCTCCTCCTCCTCCTCCTCCTCCTCCTCCTCCTCCTCCTCCTCCTCCTCCTCCTCCCCTCCTCCTCCTCCTCCTCCTCCTCCTCCTCCTCCTCCTCCTCCCTCCTCCTCTCCTCCTCCTCCTCCTCTCCTCCTCCTCCTCCTCCTCCTCCTCTCCTCCTACTCCTCCTCCTCCTCCTCCTCCTCCTTCCTCCTCCTCCTCCTCCTCTCCTCCTCCTCCTCCTCCTCCTCCTCCTCCTCCTCCTCCTCCTCCTCCTCCTCCTCCTCCTCCTCCTCCTCCTCCTCCTCCTCCTCCTCCTCCTCCTCCTCCTCCTCTCCTCCTCTCCTCCTCCTCCTCCTCCTCCTCCTCCTCCTCCTCCTCCTCCTCTCCTCCTCCGCCTCCTCCTCCTCCTCCTCCTCCTCCTCCTCCTCCAGGCTCGGGCCGCGAGCCGAAGACGGAGACGAGGCGGCGGCAGCTCGCGCGGAGCTCTCCCCCGCGCGCGCGCGCGCGCGCCTGGCCTTCACCCTGCGCGCCACCCTGTCCTGGTTCCGCAGGGTCACGGTCGCCTCGAGTCCAGGGCTGCGGCCGCCCTTTCACCCCCCCACAGAAGGAGGAAGGCATAGGACCCAGAACCCCTCCCATCACGAGAAAATCGCGAAGAAATGATTTTCACTCTGTTCGGCCTACAAGGGCTCTTACCAGGCCTCGGGATCGTCGAAAACGACTCGGGATGAGATGCCGGTCCTGGGGAGGCGGTCCAGACCTCTGGGGATCGACGCTGTGACAAAATCACGACGTCGGGGGTCTGGGAAGGAGGGGAAGAGGGGGAGAGGGGAGAGGGGGCAGGAGGCAAGCTAGGCGCGCAGGCGTCATGTCTGACGTACTATCCCTCCCTCGCATCCCTTGCCATTGCGTGGATCTGCTCTCTATTCGTACAGTCGGGTGCCGAGCTGGGCAATGATCCCGAGAGAATACGCGATGCATGGCATAGCACGACATAGCATGGCATAGAAGAGCACGGCCACAGCCGACGTCGTCGCGTCGAGAACGCGACGCGACTCATGCCGACATCAAGGTCAGAGAGAAACCAGAAATGACACAGGACGGGAAATGCAAATGAAAGGTTTGAAAAATGGGAAGCGCAAAATGAGATCAGCGCTGCAGCGGGAGCACGATTTCGAAGGACCGGAACCGTGGAAATGAAACCAGCGCTGCAGTGGGAGCACGATTTGGAAGGACAGGAAGCGCAGACCTGAAGCCAACGCTGCAGCAGGAGCACGATCAAGAACCAACATAATTAAATGAGGTCAGCGCTGCAGCGGGCACACGATTTGGGAGGGTTGTGAGCGGGAAAACGGAGCCAACGCTGTAGCTGAAGCGCCATGCTGGAAGGACCGGGAACGTTCGGATTGGAAAAAACAACGAAAACAAACATAGTACTGTTCAATTCGGCGGCATCCAATATGTAGAAAACGATACGCGGAGGAGGCCAGGACGCCTCACCAGCGTCTTCAGGGGAGAGAGTAGTACTCATAATGTGTGCAACTGTAGAGTAAGACGAGAAGGACAGGGAAGCGGAGGGGCGGAGGAAGAGGAGAAGCAGGACGACGCCCCCATCGGACGTCAGCGGCTTGGAAACAGATGAGAGTGCCGTGAGGCCAAGACGCCGCAAGAGGGCGATGCAGCGGACCACCTCCGAAGCAACAGGGAACTCCAGCAGAAGTTGCAACCCTTTGAGTTTGCTGGCATCCCACGGCGTTGCTGTACTCACACCCTTCATGTATCATCTCACGGCCGATCGCCTGGTAGTCGTTTCTGGACGGGCTGGGCGGGGATTCGCGGTCCAGGAAGAGGAGCGGGGCAAAGGGGGGGAGGGGGAGAAGGGGGAGGGGGGAGTAGGAGCAGGAAGGAGGAAGAGGGGGGGGGAAGAAGGGAATTCGAGGACTCTGGGGTTGGGCGGGGTGGGTTATCGGGCCCCTATCGGCGATCAGTGGGCGACTGAGGTTCGATGCATCCAGCCCTGAGCCGATCCCCCCCCCTTGCACTGGCCCTGACCTTTCCAAACCCCCACCGTGACCCAAAAGGGGCATGGGCCAGCCTCGTATGTCTGGAGCCCCTCGAAGTCCTGGAAGGCGATGACGGGCGGCATCACGCTGAACAGCGGCCGGTCGTAGGGCACCGCGGACTCCGTGTGGTTGGAGTACCTCCCCCCCCAAGGCTTCTCGGGTGCACACGCAGAGGGGGCAGGGCGGGGATAAGTGAATCTGCGGCGAGCCCAGGCTGGAAGTGAGAAGGAGAAGGCCTGCTCAGAAGGCTCGGAAGTCCCCCGGCCTTCTGATAAGCTTGATCAGCTTTCCCAGAAGACACAAACAGCCTCTCAGAAGACGCGAAGGCTTCTGAGAAGTCCCGCCGACTTCTGGGAAGACCTTCCCCTTCTCAGTTCGCCCCCCCGCTCACCGCCGAGTGGAAGGAGAGGGCTTTCGCTCGAAGGAGAAACAGCGGCAGAGGCATAATCTTCCAGAGGCCCGCGCGGAGCTCTCGGATCGACACTGGACCCCCTCCCCTGGCGGGCGGAGCGCGCCAGGAGCGGCGCCCGAGGCGGCGCCGGGGTGTCCCAGCGCAGAAATCCGAGAAGCCCGCAGGGAGCTCCGAGAGGCTCTGCTCCTGCCGCTCTCCTCCTGCGGCGGGTCCGGCGGCAGAGGGCCCCTCGCGCCACGAGCGGGCCGGGCACGGCGGCTCCGAGGGGAAGCCGCCCTGCCAGGATCGCCCGGGCCAGGGGCCCGGCTGGCGGCGCCCACGCTCCCCAGGGTTAGGTCGGGCATGTCCTCCTGCAGGTGGGCATGTCGACGAAAAATGAAGAATGCTCCCGAAATCCTCCAAAATAGTCCAAAAATACATCCCCAGGCCGAAAGTTTTTTCCTCTTGGCGCCGAACCTCACGGTCCCACGCGGGACACGGGCCCTCTGGGAAATCAGAGCGGCGAACCCAACGAGGGTCGCACGGATCCGATTTCCGACCTTACCGTAATTGTGAAATCGCGGCGGATCCCATTTCCGTGCGCGCGGATCCCATTTCTGATTTTCGGAATCCGCGTCGGACCCTATTTTCTCCGGCGGATCCCATTTCTACCCCGTTTTGAATTTATAATATTGCATTTGTTCCGGGAACCGACAAGAATGGGAACCGTCGACCGCCGGCCCGCCCCCCGTGTTAAGATTCTACGGGGGACGGGGGTGGTCCTCTCCGACTTCAAGAGGAAAATCTTTCGTCCTGCGTAAGTGCGCCGGCGCCCTGCGTCTCCCGGCAGTCCTCAAGACCATGTGAGGAAGTCTCGAACGGAAGCCGCAGAAAAGAGATGTGCCGCATGCGGCAAAGGACACGTCGGATGCCAAAAACGCCAGTGCGCCGGCGCCCTGCGTCTCCCGGCAGTCCTCAAGAGCATGTGTGGAAACCTCGAACGGAAGCCGCAGAAAAGAGATGTGCCGCATGCGGCAAAGGACACGTCGGATGCCAAAAACGCCAGTGCGCCGGCGCCCTGCGTCTCCAGGCAGTCCTCAAAAGCATGTGAGGAAGTCTCGAATGGAAAGCCGCAGAAAAGAGATGTGCCGCATGCGGCAAAGGACAGGTCGGATGCCAAAAACGCCCAGTGCGCCGGCGCCCTGCGTCTCCCGGCAGACCTCAAGAGCATGTGAGGAAGGCTCGAACGGAAGCCGCAGAAAAGAGACGTGCCGCATGCGGCAAAGGATAGGTCAGATGCCAAAAACGCCCATCCCCAGGCCGAAAGTTTTTTCCTCTTGGCGCCGAACCTCACGGTCCCACGCGGGACACGGGCCCTCTGGGAAATCAGAGCGGCGAACCCAACGAGGGTCGCACGGATCCGATTTCCAACCTTACCGTAATTGTGAAATCGCGGCGGATCCCATCTCCGTGCGCGCGGATCCCATTTCTGATTTTCGGGATCCGCGTCGGACCCTATTTTCTACGGCGGATCCCATGTCTACCCCGTTTTGAATTTATAATATTAAATTCTTTCCAGGAGCCGAAACAAATGGGACCCGTCGACTGCAGGCCCCCCCCCGTGTTAAGATTCTACGGGGGACGGGGGCGGTCCTCTTCGACTTCAAAAGGAAAATCCTTCGTCCTGCGTGAGCAGTCAAAACTCGTCCCCCGACTATTTCTTTGCTATTTTTGAATACTCCAGATTTCGTAATAAAAGGGAGGGGGTCTGGACCCTCCAAGACAAGCCATTTCAGACCTCCCCCGTGGGAGAACCCTCCAAAACATCGTCCCCAGACCCCCCAGGCCCTCCAAGATAGCCTGGAAGAGACCCCCCCCGAAATGAGACCCCCCTCCCTTTATTACGAAATCTGGAGTACCCATCTGGGGGAGCTTCGGGCGGTGGCCTGCACGAGTCGCCGCCTGGGCATGCAAGACAGCTCCCGCGCTCGCGGGTCGCAGGGCAGGGTCGCCGAGGGGAGCAAAGGGGGGGAGGGGGGAGGCGAAGAGGGGGACAGGAGGAGGAGGAGGAGGAGGAGGAGGCGGAGCAGGAGGAGGAGGGGGAGGCGGAGCAGGAGGAGGAGGGGGAGGCGGAGGCGGAGCAGGAGGAGGAGGAGGCGGAGGAGCAGGAGGAGGAGGAGGGAGAGCAGCAGGCGGACGGGGAGGAAGGGGACAAGGAGGGCACAGGCGAAAGACGCAAAGCAGAAACAACCACCAAAGCAACCAGCAGACAGGCAGAAAAGAACGGGCTGGCCGCGCGGCGCGAAGGGAACAGCGGAGCGCGCAGGGGCGGCACCAGAGGCGCCGCCAGGGAGGTCTGGCGCCGATCCCACAAATCCGCGCGGACCTCCGAAAACTAATCCCACCAGCCCTCTGGGCGTAGGTGGTCTAGGGGTGTCTTTCTTTCTTTTTCCATCGCCCATTTCCCTTCGGGGAGGGATATCCTCTCCTTCCACTCCCTGAGGGTAGTTTGGGAGGGGGGCCGAGGGGTTAGAGCGTCCAAGAGACCTCAAGAACGCCTCCGATGCTCCAAGATGGCCTCCATGATGGCCCAAAGATAGCAGAAGATGACTCAGGATGGCTTCCATCATACTCTAACCTAGGAAGCCGCCCCCATAAAGGCCGCTCCAAGATGGCTCCACCTGTTCTCGGAGCCCCCAAGGCACTGCCCCTAAGAAGCCAAGATCCTTCAACAAACCTCAAGGAAATCAATGACGTTTGCCTTCTCGCCGTTTCGCTTCCTGCAAGAGGGGCCCAAGAGCCCCCCCAGACGGCCCCAAGAGCGCCCAAGAGCGCCCCAAGAAGGCCCCCAAAGGCAGATTTGAAAGCCCGAATGCCAGCTTGTGATTAACAAATGATGCCCCCCCTGGGGCTGATGAATAGGCCACGCGGGGCGCGAAACAATTGTTGTAATCACGCGCGGCAGGGGGGTCGTCGCGGGCGCCGCCGAGGGGATCATGTACCCCCCTGCACGGCAGAATCAAAACGATTGCCTTGTTCGTATAAAAGTTGTTATAAGGATCGTATACATCCGAGGCAAAGTTGTCCCCCTTCTCAGGTCGATTACTGACGTACCACAGTCTTCGTCGTCGTCGTCGACTGCAGCGGGACTCGCAGCTCAGCACCCCCCTTCTGGGGCATCCGCAATGCGTCGTCGCAGTGTCGTCGTCGCGGTCGTCGTCGTCGTCGTCGTCGTCGTCGTCGTCGTCGTCGTCGTCGTCGTCGTCGTCGTCGTCGTCGTCGTCGTCGTCGTCGTCGTCGTCGTCGTCGTCGTCGTCGTCGTCGTCTTCTTCGTCCGTCGTCTTCGTCGGTCGTCGGTCGTCGGTCGTCGGTCGTCGGTCGTCGGTCGTCGGTCGTCGGTCGTCCTCGTCGTCGTCGTCGTCGTCGTCATCGTCGTCGTCGGCGTCGGCGTCGGCGTCGGCGTCGGCGTCGGCGTCGGCATCGGCGAGGGCATCGGCGTCGGCGTCGGCGTCGGCGTCGAAGTCGGCGTCGGCGTCGGCGTCGTCGTCGTCCACGGCGACTTCAGCGGGCATACGCAGCCAACCACCTCCTCCCCCCAATAGAGTATCCGCAGTGCGTCGTCGTCCGCCGTCACCGTCGCCGTCGCCGTCGCCGTCGTCGCAGGACATGGTAGAGGAGGGGGGATGGGGGGAGAAGGGGGACGAGTCGCCCTCTCCGCCCGCCTCTGCCGCTCCTCCCCCTCCTCTCCCCCCTCTTGTTGGTAGCCATGTCGGCACCGCCCGCCAGCTGAGGCGTATCTTTCCCCTGCTTCCCCTTTCTCTCCTGTCTGTCGCCATGTTGGCCCACATGCCTCGCTATAGCGGAGGCGATGCTGTCCCCCTCCGCTGAAGCGGAGCCGTTTGCATCGCGCCTGCCGACCTCCTGCTGTCGGCCGGGTGTCGGCCCAAATCGCCGCCGCCGCGTGTTTCCACCAGCGCCGCCGCCGCCGTGTGTTTCCGTTTGGCGGGCGCCCCCCCACCCCCCACCCCCGCGATTCGCCAGAGCAGAGGCACAATTTTCCCCAACCATCCTGTGGTGTTGGGTCCTCGTTTTGAGAAAACAACGACCCGCGTTCCTTCCTCCTTCCTTCCTCCCGCTTCGTAGCCCAATAGGGGGCTCCACCAAACGCCCCAGTGGCGGTGTCCGCACGCTGTTCCCCCATAGGGAGCTCCACCGAAGGCCTCAGTGGCGGTGTCCGCATGCGGCTTCCCCACCCAATATAGCGCGTCGTGGCCCTATAGGGGGCTCCACCGAAGGCTTCACTGGCGGCGTCCGCATGCGTCTCCCCCACGCACTACAGCGCTTCGTGGCCTCACAGGGAACTCCACCGAAGGCTTCAATGGCGGTGTCCGCATGCGGCTCCCCCACCCAGTACAGCGTTTCGTGGTCCCATGAGGAGCTCCACCGAAGGCTGCAGCAGCGGTGTCCGCATGCGTCTCCCCCGCCCAACACAACGATTCGTGGCCCCATAGGGAGCTCCACCGAAGGCCCCAGTGGCGTTGTCCGCGTGCCGTTCCCCCGCCCAACACAGCGCTTCGCGGCCCCATTGGGAGCTCCACCGAAGGCCCCGATGGACCCGTTCACATGCGTCCCCTCACGCAATACAACGCTTCGTGGCCCCATAGGGAGCTCCACCACAAGCCTCAGTGGCGGTGTCCGCATGCGGTTTCCCCACCCAATAGCGCGTCGTGGCCCTATAGGGGGCCCCACTGGAGGCTTCAGTGGCGGCGTCCGCATGCGATTCCCCCACCACATGCGGTTCCCCCGCCCAACACAGCGTTTCGTGGCCCCATAGGCAGCTCCACCGAAGGCATCAGTGGCGGTGTCCGCATGCAGTCCCCCTACCCAGTACAACGCTTCGTGGCCCCATAGGGAGCTCCACCGAAGGCCCCAGTGGCGGTGCCCGCAGGCGTTCCCCCCGCATGCACGGCACTTCGTGTCCCCATGAGTAGCTCCACCGAAGGCCCCCGTGGACCCGTTCACATGCGTTCCTCCCACACAATACATCGTTTCGTGCCCCCATAAGGAGCTCCACAGGAGGCTTCCGTGGCAGCGTCCACGTGCGTCTCCCCCACCCAGCACAGCTCGTCGTGGCCCCATAGGGAGCTACACCGAAGGCCTCAGCAGCGGTGTCCGCAGGCGTTTCCCCCACCCAGTACAGCGCCTCGTGGCCTCATAGGGAACTCCACCGCGGGCCTCAGTGGCGGTGTGTGCACACGGTTCCCCCACCCAATACATCGTTTCGTGGCCCATAGGGAGCTCCACCGAAGGCCCCAATGGCGGTGTGCACATGCGGTTCCCCCACCCAGTACAGCGCTTCGTGCCCCCAGAGGAACCTCCACCGAATGCTCCAGAGGCGGTGTCCCCATGCGACTCCCCGCCCAGCACGGCGCTTCGTGGCCCCAGAAGAAGCTCCACCGAAGGCTCCCGTGGACCCGTTCACATGCGTTCCCCCCACACAATACAATGCTTCGTGCCCCCGTTGGGAGCTCCATTGGGGGCGTCAATGGCAGCGTCCACATGCGTCTTCCCCACCCAGTACAACGTTTCGTGCCCACATAGGAAGCTCCACCGTAGGCCCCCATGGAACCGTTCACATGCGTTTCTCCCACCCAATAAAACGTTTCG